AGAAACTGAGCAGGTTTCAAGCCGATAAAGATGCGCTACCTGTTCAGTCCGACTGCATAAGAAAAGCTACCAGAGCGGCTTTCTTTTGGTTTATATCACACACAACAATAAATTAAAGTTGAAATGAAAGCATTGTTAGCAAAATGCCAACTTGGTTATTCTAGAACCCTAACTTTAGGTGAACGTTTCTTTTTCCATACACAAGCAAGGGGCTTAAAATGAGTCTTAGTATATACTTCGTCGCGCGTTTGGATGCGCTATAAACATTTATAGCTAAAAGCAATTGCGCCAAACAACCAGAACAGGAAGCTAAAATTTTATGTAGTTATTCGACGCCTGTGTACGAATTAAATATTTTAAATTCAGCTCTAAAGCATGCTTAGAAACTTGCAGCGCGCGTGAGAAACTTTAGCTTGGAATACGGTTCCACACAATTAAATTATTGAAGACTGAGTAGGAGAAAGTGTTTTTCTGAGAATGTGTGCCGCTCACACGCAAACTTAAAATCGGCTTTTGCTCACGCTTGTGGCGCGCATACAAACATACGAAATGTTGGAGTTACAACGCTGCTATCATTCCACTCTTTTGGCAATTTGAAATTTTATGAGAGTTCTGTTTGATTATGTGGGACACGAAAGACACAACAGTACCTTTCACGTATGCTATCCACTTCCACAGGGGTGTAACAAATTTCAGTTATAAAAACGCAGGGTCGCACCGAAAACCCTAGTGAGTGTTGCTATCTACGTTTTTGACTTAACCCTTCTTGATGTGGTTGCAAAACTTGAAACTACCGCGCGAGTGTGCATTTTACACGTGAGCATGTAAACCATAAAAAAACTACACAACTGCGAAAGATATGAGTGAAAATTTTAAAACGGAACGATGACACACGGAGTAGGAATATATACTTAAAATTTCAGCCTCCCAGCTTTCCTGGTTGCTCAGATGAAAGTGGTGACAAAGTTCACTCGCTTTCGTACACACACACGCAACACATACACATGCACGCAGACACACCCACAGGGGACCTTTCGACAATATGCGTTTCTGCTTGCTGTAACATCGCTATAATGCTGTACAGCAAAAACGCATAAAAAGTAAATTCCTATGCCCTCTTTTACTTCATATTGACAAATGTCTTGGCCGACATATCATTGTTAAGATATAAATTAGATCGTTTCAGGGTTCATTGCTGCTATGTATGGTAACGTCCCGACAAATGAACGAAAACTGACTATGGGCGCATCAAGACTTCTGCGCTTATGAATATTGCAGTGCATAGAAAAGTTTCACTTACAGAAAAAAACTGCGAGGAACCGAGCGAAAAGTTGTCAATACGAAAGTGCAGTTTTCGGACGAGAGGGGGAGAGGGAGCGGGAGCAAGTGCTTGGTGGTGAAGGAGGAAACTAACACACGGCAACATTAATTTTAGATGTAAGCTGTACTAGTATGTCATATTTTTCCGTAGACTGTACAGGTTCAAAATTTACGAATAAGATTTGCGCTTAGCTGCAGATGGCATGGGGAAGTAGTTAGTATATCGAGTTCGCAGACAAGTGGAAAACATAAATGAGCTAGAAAAAGCACGGCGGTAATGAAAGGAAAATTGTGGTTTGCATGATTCGTTTTACTAAGGCACGATGTTTACTGGAATGGCCAGAAACCAATAAATAGAAGTGCAAAGTAGTAAAAGCACCAACAAGTAACAATCCAGCTGCTTTTCTGCGTTTAGCTGCGTTGATATAAATGAAAATCCAGGTAGCAACACACTAGGCTTGCTAGCGCAATCATGGTTTCAGCGTTAAACTTGAAGCAGTCAGACTGTTAACGATGTAATTGGTTGCTACTCTGAAGTCTAACATCTGGGCTTATGTTTGCCACGCTTTGGCTTTTTTCTGTATGCAGCGGGAAAACGGAGTCAGCTGGGACGACTGTGCTGCATCATGTGGCCATGTGAAATCCTAACCTCCAGCATGCATGATTACCGCGAATTTCGGTGAGGGAAAATGAACAATTTTCCGTGACCGATCGTTCACAGAAAATGAAATTTGGGCGATGAACAGGGTGTCAAGAGAAAAGGATGACGGGATCAGCAAAATGCACTCGCTTTTGACGTTAGGGTGAAACTGAATATTTGTAATGTTCTTGTGCAGGGAATTTAGCCTCTAGGCTAAATTTAGATCGCATGTGACTATAGAATATCTTTGGAAAATTTCAGCTTTCTAGCTTGTTCGGTTCTCGAAATCGTCACTTTGCTATAAATTTCTTTGACGCTTCCTAAGATATTGCGCAAATACAGTTCAAACTCCATCTGAGTGTAGGATTTCCCAGATGGGCGGTAAAAATTCTGTTATGTTCCAGCTAAGGTTGGGATGGTGAACTTTGTCATAATTTTATGCGCGACGGAAGCGTGTATGATAGCTGAATTTGAATCTTTGGATCGTACGTGGACAGGCTATATCCCTGAAGAGCTCCTGCTTCGTATGTTTATTGCTTCCCGAAATCGTTTCCAGCCAAAACGTTTATGGTTTTTTTAGGCATCAGTAGATGAGATACAGGCGTGCACAAGCGCTGATTTTAAACGAAGAGTCGCACAT